TTCTTGGGCTGGGCTTTTTCTTCCACCTCCACCTGCCAATAACCCGAAGCCAGGTCCAAGGTCGTAAAACAAGTTGATTCCCCGAGAGTGCCGAACAACACATCCATTCTTGGAAGGGGAAATCCGTCCCGTGTAGCCACTTGATTGAGTCATCGGTAATCTGTGCACATGTAAAAACTACCGTCTTTCTTCTTGACCAGTACGATAGGAGACGCCCATGGTGATTTAGACGACCGGATATCGTTGCTTTGTAACATCTCCGGTTATTAAATCTCGTAACTACTCTTGTAGTTGCATCGGTATCCTACGAGGTGGGGTCCTGATCGGTACTGCATCCCAAGTCTCGATTTGATGTTTTAACACATTTGTGGGCCCGAGGTCAGTTTTGTTCCAGGCAAACACTTCGGCTTTCTCTTGGATAGTGTTGACTAGCTGACCTATGATTCCGACATCATATCTATCCTTCAGTTCTCTGGCTAACTTCTCGATATAATTTTCCACCGGTGACACCGTTGTGCTTAGAGACAGGGTGCAAGCATCTTTTGTTTTCGGGCTGCGGGTCACAAACGAAACTGAGAGGGTCGCGGTGACCAACTGCCAATTATCCGAGTCCAGAGTACATCCCCATCTACACAACACATCCATTCCGAATATTACCTAGAATGGAGTATTCTCAGCAATAATCATAGAATGTCTCTGTACCTGGCCTGCCAGTGATATTGCAGCGACCGTCGATCCCAGGACGGATATCGGCGCGCCATTGGCCGCAGTGAAACGTTCTAGACATGGACTCACTGTATGTACGTCCACCAATTCGCACTTGAGTGGTGCGTAGCGGAACCGATACGAATCCCGAATTAAAAACAATTGATTCGCAATGTTCTAAGGTACTGAATTAAAGAAATTATTACAATGTGTACAATAAAGCAAACCTCAAATATGCGGCCGAAAGCACTCAAACAAGCGAGCCAAATAAAATGTCCAGAGAGAGGCAAACAGTCGCTCCCGTTCTCAAACCACGCAAAATTCAAATGTGCCGGGCATAGAGTTAACAGATAAATAATGATGTGTGGTGGTCATGATCGTGAAATGTCAATATGAGAGCAACACACAGTGAAAGTTATTGCACCATAAATCATTATGAGTTCGGAAAGATTTTCAAAAAATTCAGCATGAAATACACTGTATACCCCTTTAATTTACGCATAAACGAACTTTTATTGAGTGACTGGGAGGAACCTGTATCTTTCAGCGCTGAACATATGACATTACAGATTGTTAGTTCGATCATCAACGTGTCCTGGCTATTCAACTGGCAGCAAACAGTGGCAATATTCAACGTTCTGTATTGCTTGGACTCATCCGGTCGTCGTCCACCGTAGTTGAACGTCCTGTTATGCCAACGGGCTGATGGTATGTGCTGGAACTGATAGTTGAGCCGCCACGGTCGTCGCATTCCTCGGCCTCTCTGCCACGCCTAATGTCCGACTTCTTGCGCACCATCTTGCCCCACCGTTGGACATTCTTGATTTGCTGCTGTGGCTGCCATCAGCTTTTCCGTATCTTCTGCACGTTTCACAGCCATCTCCACGTCCGATGGTGGGTTTATGAGCAGATGCTGTCGTACGTTATTGGATCTGGACCCCAGGACTAATTGTTCCAGCAAATTCTTCTCCAATTCCGAGGGCGAATCATTTTCCCATACCCTTCTGGCCAGTCGGCACAATTCTCGCACAAAACTTCGCACGCCTTTGCCATTGTATTGGTGCCGTGAGTTGAATTAATTCCTATATTCCGTGGGCAGCAGGGATGAATCCAACAACCGTCGAAGGCACGAAAATTTTTCTGCTGTGACGCCTCCCCTCATGCAGTCCGTCTCGGTCACCACATCAAATGCCTCTCCACCAAGCAACGATAACACCAAATTGGGATGACGTTCAGGTAGAAAATTCTCAAGACATATTTTCACTTGTTTCTTCCACCGCTGGAAGTTGTCTCCAACATTGTACTTCTCCGGGGCTGAGCGGGTCGCTGTTGGTGTCCTGGTGGATAGTTTTTCTAACCGTTCCGTCAGTACACTCAGAACGTTCGCCGGCTGCGTGCCGTTCGTGTCCACCATCTGTGCGATCACGTCTTCACTTTTCGGAGTCTTCGGCATATTCATAGATTGATCCTGGCAGGCAGTCACGGGAGAAGACTCGTAAAGAACGAGGAAATTGTACTGCACGTAACTACGCTGAGCAATGTAAATAGGAAAACGTACATGGGGGAACTCGACATTACGTGAACCTTCAACTGCCTCCGGGTTCTTCTTCTGTGGTTTGGCAATCCTTCACTGTGGCGGTAATGATTGGATGGGCTGCAACGCAAAGGAAAAGCAGCTCCGTCAGAACCTCACAATTTAAATTGTCTGGTCTAATTCAACTAATGTTTTCCTCTACAGTGACTCTACGGGACGCTTATTCAACGAGCGGCACTTGTGTCTTTCTTCGACTATGTTTTCAGAATTGGAGATAATGCATGAGTAATTTGTAGCCTTATAATTTATCAATTTATTTGGGGTAGAATATTTTCAATAGTTTACTTATTTAATGTGCACTGAGTGAAAAGAAAAGAAAATATTAGAATACGAGTACCTACCTAATAGAAACTCTCATAGAACAGGAATCATCTATTCAAAATTATTTGCTCCCATGCTGCTTTTCCCAGAATATTTTTTTATTCAGAGCTGTAACTTTTGAACTATTGCAAATTTTAAAGCGACACTCAAGGTTGCGCACACTCAAGTCGTGATAGAGGTGAACTAAGAACATAGGTGCTGGAGATAAAGTCAGGACCAAATACGTTTTACTCATGGCTATCTATATATAACTATGATTTTGCAAGCTGAAATGGATTTTCAA